CTCTCTCTCTCTCTCTCTCTCTCTCCCACACTCACACCCATCTGTTGGTAATGGGGGCGATGGCTGCGGGTGAAAATGGTAGTTTTAGGAGGTGTAGTTTCCAGCTTCCCCTACACACATACAGAGATCCAGTCGTTGTAGAAGTGGTGAAGAGAGGGAGAGTGAGGGGGCAGAGACTGAGAAGACAACGAAAACCGTGATTGCGCACGTATTGCATGTCCGCCTTTTCTGCATACACGCCACCTGCACATCCACACCACACGCAGCCCCCTCCTCCGTGGGGTGGCGACCAGCAGAGCATGATGCTGCAGATGGGGCTTCAGTACGGACAGAGTGTGCTGCAGGGCGGAGAGCAGAGCTTCATGCGCCATCTGCCTGTCATATCTGGCATTCGCCGCTATTTCCGCGTGGACAACCAGTACGTGAAGGGTAAGCTGGCCATATTGCTGTTCCCCTTCACCCGCAGGTTTCAAAGGGTGGCTCCAGTCTCCACTAGCGATCACGAGGCGAGTGGATTCTCCGCTCCTTATGGCGGGGATCCGTCGATGATGCCACCGGGGGTCGAGCGTTCGCCCACCTCGGCGACGGGTGGCATGTACCCGGCGGCGCTGCCAACGAACGATTTATACGCGTTCGATCTATATCTGCCTCTCATGGGCGCTGTCACGTACGTCATTCTCTCCGCATTCCTGCATGGACTGCACCATAACAGCGTGACGAACGAGCACCTCTTGTCGTCTGCCTCCTCGCTGGTGTTCTGGCTCCTATTTGAAGTTGTCTTGTTAAAGGTGGCAAGTTATGTCCTTCGGCTTGTGCCGGACGTGAGTGTGTTGGACTTAGTCGCCCTGTGTGGCTACAAGTACATCACGGTTTGTCTCATTGTACTGATAAGAGAAGTGGTGCAACTAGAGAGTGATGCTTGGTACATTGGCTTCTTCGTGATGTATGCGCTGATTAGCAACGGCTTCTTTGTGGCCACGATTTTGATGCGGATGCATCAGCGTGAGGGACGGACTCCGTCGAACGCAAGACTGTTGGCGTACGGTGCCGCATGCCTGCAGGTGCCGCTTGTGCTTTGGCTAGCCCTCAAACCATTTCGATAAAACGTGTTGGACCCCAAATCACGACCCTTGTCGGGAGGGAACGAAGTGGAAGAGTGGAAATGTTTCCCATCGGAGTGGTGCTTTGTATTGCTTATTGTTCCTTGTGGTGTGTGATGTTCTCGCTGTCGCCCATCCCCTCCCCTGAGTTTTTTTTTTTTCCTCCCCCCATTGGTTCTCGTTACTTCTGTTTGTGTGGATGTGGCTTCTTCCGCTGCTGGTAAAAACAACCCAAAATACAAAGGTGCGGTGCAGGCAGGGCACAGCATGGAAGGGCCAAAGCGCATCTCGTGGAATCTGAAGGGCCGTAGTGCGGTGGCCGCTCTCGACCCCGCCACCCGTCACCGCATCACGCAATCTCACACGATGGCCGCCTGTTTGCACAGGCCGCTGCTGGCGACGCTCGAGGCTATCATAGCCGTGAAGTATGTGGGGGGCCTGAGTGGTCCCTTGCAAAAACCGGAGCCGTTTATCTGCCTCATCACGCGGCTGCTGCAGATCACACCGGAACCATCAATTGTATTGGCAATGCTGCACCAAGATGTGCACAAGTACCTGCGCGTGGCGGCGCTGTTTGTGATTCGCCTCATCGGCAATGAGGCCATGGTGCGCGAGGCGCTTCGGGTCGGGTGGGACGATTACAGAAAGATTCGCGTCTACGGTTCTGCAGCAGATTGGGCGAGTCCGCAAGCCAACATTGAAGCCGCTGCAGAGAAGGAAGAGGGCGGTGGCGTGAGTGCGCCGTCGTACAATATTATGTGCGTTGACGAGATCACAGATCGCCTCTTCAAGGTTGGGGAGGACAAGGACAACGCGAATGAGGGAAGTGGCCATGTCTGGTTAGGCGTACACTTTTCGCCGCTTCTGTTGTAGTGTGGTGAAAAAGGGCGATATGAGAAAGATAGAGAGGGATGAAAGTAGTTGTTTGGTCTGGGAATCGGAGATTCCGTACTTCACACTGTTGTTTGACGACTATGATGGTGTGCGTTTATGTCTCTCTCTCTCTCTCTCTTTCTTTAACTCTCTCTCTCTCTCTCTCGCTCCCTCCGTGTGTGCGTGTGTGCTTTTGTGAGTGTGTGCAGTCCGTCTCTTGTTTCTTTTCGCTCCATTCTAGTGTGCATTTTGTGAATAAACAGAGAAATAAGGAGGCTCAGCGATGGGTCGTAGCAACCTGGATGTAGAGGCGCAGTTGCGTGCCTGGCAGAAGACGCAGGCAAAGGAGGTGCCGGTGAGTTTCATGGAGTGGCATAACCTTGAGTCCAACCTTCCCATCGTCCTTCCACTCGCCGCGGTGACGCTGGTTACATGCATCATCATCACTCTAGTTCCCTTCATTGGGCGTGGGAAGTCCGCGAAGTCTGGGGCCGGAATTGCACATCAGTATGCTGCAGGGCTCGCCGGTACACGTGCGCTGATCTTTGCATCGCGATTCAACCCGTTCGCGTTCTCCGCGTTCATCACGGTATGGCTGCTGCTCAGCGCGACGAACACGGTTTTTTGCCTGATGCAGGCCGCATCTACAGCTGCCACGCCGGCGGCGACCTTCTCGGAAACCCTCGACGGGTTTCTGAAGCCCGCGGTGATTCTCTTCGTCATTCAATACTGGGCGATAACCTCACTCCTCATTCATGTGCTCTTCACAGCGCATCGCTACTACATTGGAAGCGCGGCTTCGTTTCCACCCTTTCTGGTGAGTTTCTACCAAGTAGCATCCCTAAAAGGAAATGAGGTGGACCGATGGCCAGTTACAACCGTTAACGCCGCACTTGTAATCTCTGTTGCGACGGCGATTGCGTTCACTGTCCCGTGGATCAAGAATGAGTATCGCATAGCCATGCGCGACCTCAACGCGAACGCCGCGAGTACGTTGGGGTACCGCAAAAAAGTTGTGGAAAAGAAGGGAGAGAAGAAGCGTGCTTGAAGCCAGAGAAATATGGGGGGGGGAGGGGGGGGGGGAAGATTAGGTGTGCGCAATCCCCCCACGTGGTTTGTTTTTTTCTGCCAAGTCCTTCTCTATGCAGGTGACGCGCGCCCGCAAGAACCCACCGCATGGCTTGCTCTTTTTTGGGTGTGTGTGTGTGTGTGTGTGTGTGCCTATGAATTAGGATTTTACTTTTTTGTTGTTGTTGTTTTTGTGGTGGTTTTGGTGCTTTTTGTTCATGTTGAAGCGAGGGTCGGGTGTGCGACGAAAAACGATAGAAAGCAAAAACAACTCGACGTTATCAAAAGTCAATTGCTGAAGAAGGCAGTAATTTTTTTTTAAAAAAGAAACAACCAACCCGGGCAATGAGCGAGGCCCTTGCGTTTCAGGCGGTCGTGTTTCAATGCCCTGGGTGGCGGCGATGTGAACGAAGGCGTTACAGTGGTGGAGCCCCACAAAGTTGGCGTACGGGATCGACTGCGCCTCCCCGGCAGCAGCATATGACCATCACCAAAAGTACACCAGGAGGGGCGTCCACGAACAAAAAGTCGACGGCGGCGCGCGGCGCAGCCAACATTCCTCTTTGCCAAACGTTTTTTGTGATGCGTTTTTGACCCTCTGAGCTGCGAGGGCGTGGTTTTATCGCATTCCTTCCCACTGGATGTGGCCATCCACGCCCCATGAAGTTCGCCCCCGAAGCCATATATTCCAAGGCGGCTTGCGCCAGAGGATCTTGCGAGACCTTTTCCACTGCGGGCGGCACTGGCTGTCCCCTTTGGAATCGTAGGCGACACTGGCCCCCCCCCGTGCAACGCCCGAATTGACCGGCTGCAGAATCTCTGGGGGCCACCCCGTGCCCCATGAGAAGGCGCGCCAATTTTAACACGGCGCCTGACCCACCCCGGAAGTGGAGCAAATGCCGGGCCCCCTGTGGCAAATCGATCTCGAAAAACGCGACGCCTTTAGATTAAGACGCAAAACTAAATCCGACAGCACAGAGGGCAAATGCTACGAAATGCTGTTGAAAGGAGCAACTGTCCCGCAAGGGCCGCCAGCAATTCGTACCCCACCGTGCTGCAACCCGCGGCCGGCGCGTTCCCGAAGGTTTTTTTTCCCCTTCACGGAAAGAAGGAATAACACAAGCCCCGGTAAGTTCAGAGGTGGCATGGCACACGATTCCAGACTCCCGTAGCAAATGAACATTCTCGGCGGAGATTTGACGGTGCCCCGATTGAGAAACAACCCAAAGAACACACGACGACAGAGTCCATAATTCCTGAAAACGGCGCTTCACCGCAGGGGCCAAACGGAGGATGACACACCCAACATCAAGAGCATGGACGCCAGACTGCTGCAGAGGAATTGCCGCCTCGCCCCTCGGGGTGGCCGTGGGTGGGGGGCGCATTCGCCACGTTAATGTGGC